GCTTATCATAATATTGACTTCAAAGTACAAGTGATAAAAGAACCATAACACCATACTTATTACTGCACAATCTAGTTTCTATTATCTAGCCTCCTATTCTCCTCCCTGACTTTCTATCATTTCATGAATCATTTGTGCCCAGGAGAGATGTTTGTCTCTGTGGATTGTTGGAAATGCTTCAGTAAAATGATTTTTGAGATAACTGTAGGGCTGCTTTAGCAGTATTTCCTTACTGAGGGCCTGTCTATCTAATCTGTCTTTGAGAGGCAGTCAGTAATTAACTAAGAATGTGGGTGGAACAAGCAAAAATCTGCCAGGCAAATGAAGAGTTTTCCTGATTGGTTCAGAATTAGCCTAGAATTGTAGAACTGGCGAATAAATTCAGTCCACAGCAATTAGACAAGCAAATCCAAATTGGGCATGGGGCATTTTGAGAGTGAAGAAGGCAGATAGTAGCCCTGGGCCTGGATTCATGAAGACTTGAATTCAAATTCAGTTGCACTTACTAGTTGTATGACCCTGGGCAAGTTAATTAACCTTTCTTTGCCTCAGTTTGGTCAAATGTAAAATAGGGATAATAACAGAACCAACTACCCAGAATTGTTGTGAAGATGAAATGAGATAATATTTGTAAAGTGCTTAGCATAATGCCTGGAACAGAGTAGGTGCTATATAAAAGTTTAGTCCCTTTCCTATGAAGAAACCATCCAATTTGATGACAAAAAGGAAACAGAATGCCTTAGGGCAAATTCTCTGTCAAGAGGATAATGAGGGGCAAGCTAAGTGGGGAAAATTTTAGTTAAAATTAGTTTAGAAAGTCTGATTGGTCAGAAACCTAATTTTAACTAAGCTTTAATTTCAACCTCTTTCTGTCAGAGTTGGTGGAAACAGCAAAATTGAATTTTATCCCTTCTTGCCTTCTTATGTTAAAATAACAAAGTAATGAGTGCCTAGGAGGAAGAGTAAGAATCTGCAAACTGGAAAATTATCTCTTGAATTCTAGAAAGCTAATTAAAATTTCAGGTGTTTTTCAATTACTCTGCTAAAGTAAATAAAATGTACAAGTAGGAAGTTTCTTGAAGCATAACAGCTTTCAGATAAGATTTTTTTCCCAGTCTTACAAAACATACTGACAACACTAGACTTTATCCAGTATTGTAAACAAAATTCTAAACAGAATCTAGAAGTTAAAAGGCATCCAATACTGTGTTCCTTCCAAAGTTGTTCTAATTCAATAAAAAATCATGCATATTACATTATAAGAAAGGAAGGAAGGAAGGGAGGGAGGAAGGAAGGAAGGAAGAAAGAAAAAGAAAGAAAGAAGGAGAGAGAAAAAAGAAAGAGGGAGAAAAGAGAAAGAAAAGGAAGGAAGGAAGAAGTCTAGGATTGGGAAGCTTTCTTCTATATAAACTTCTAATTATTTTATACTGATTAACTGTTTCTGAATTTGTATGTATTCCTTTCCTTTATTAATAAGCTCTTTAGAAAGCATTTTTGGTGATCTATAGTATATAACATCAGGAATAAGAAAAGAAAGAAAGATATAATTGCAGTCACACATGGTAGCCACAACAAATTAATGGAGGACAGGTAACTAGGCCTTAGAATTAGAAGAAGCACTGAAAACAATTCAGTCCAATCCCCTTATTTCAAAGGAGAGGAAACTGAGACCTAGAAGCATAAAAACAACTTGCAGAAGGTCCCACAACTAGGGAATGATTAGAACAGATCTCAAACTTGGGTCCTCTGATTCCAAACCCAGTGCTCTATCTTCCATAACACCAGTACAAGAGAGCTCAAAACCCACAGAGCCAAGCAGGCTCAGAGACCAAGAAGGTTGGGAGAGTCAATGCCTAACATTGGGGTTTAAGGAGCAAGGAAGTGTAGAAAATAGTGATAGAAGAAAGTCCTAGAACCCAATAAATGTTCTCCTGGACTAAGGCTTTCTCCTAGGAAAGGAAATCCTTGCAAAACTGATCAAAAGTCAGCAGCAAGACTCAAGGCATAAGGCTAGATCATCACAGTGTCATTAGCAATAGTTAGATAGGAAAAAAGAGTTTATTTAGCTAATTGCTGGCACTTCAGATAGGAAAAGGAGTCAAACAGCACTTTTAAAATAATTTAACATTTCCAAGGTCTCACACTCCTCCTGAAATACAATCAATATAACATAAGATTGAGGAGCACTATGACATAATGAGTAGCAGGAAGGGCCAGTCATGGAAACAGGAAAATCTGAGGTCAAGTCCTGCCTTTGATACATCTGGTTCTGTGACTAGGAATAAGACATTTTAATCTCTCAGTGCCCCAGGCAGCTCTAAAAGACTGGACCGTTTAGAGGAGTTGTTGAACTATGTCAGTTGCGGAAGTTTCTATACTGGGAATTCCTCAAAGCAATAAAATCCCACATCCCCTAAAAAAAGAATATAGAAGATATGGTTTATTATAATGGTAATTCTTCTGCATTGACTAAAGTGATGCTTTGGAATAAGCTATCCATTTCCAGAAAACTCAGGTTCATCCAGATTTCCTGCAAAAAGGGAGGAAAATAAGATTATAGACAGACTGAGCAAAAGAAGTGAATAGAGACAAAGAGGGGTGAGATGGAGGCATAAAAGGAGTCCAGAACCAAGTGCAGTCAGGAGCAACCCTCAGATTGTCACAGACCAGGGCCATGTGATTAGAAATTGTGAGAGCAACAAGCAAAGAGACTACAGTTGACAAGAAGTCTTTTAAAAGGCAGGGAAATTGCAGGTTTGAGTTCACACTGTGTAGTTTGCCAGACGACTTGAACATGCCCAGAAAGCGTGGAAAAGGAGAGGGAGAGTGGGAAGCACCTAAGGAGATGATGGAAAAAAGCAGTTACACCTCAAGGGTCTTGAAAGACTTGATTACTAGCCACACTTGTCACTTAAATGGCTTTTGTGCCCATGTAAGAGTAATCTAAATATGGCAAGGGGGGAAGAGGAGGAGAGAAAAGGAATGGAGGAAGGAAGAATAATATAAAAAACAGAGCAATTTAAAAATCATGGAAATAACAAAGTTTTTATGGTCTCTTCCCAAAGCAAAATTATTTTAAGAGCACCACCCTGGAACTCAGAGCAGTAAACTATGTAATTATAAAAGAAACTATCAATTAGATAGCAATGTGGAAAAAAAGTTCCCATTACATAAATCAGGGAGGAAATTCAAGTCAAGTGAATTCAACAAGGGCAGTTAGGAGGCACAGTGGGTAGAGTGCTAGGCCTTGAGTCAGGAAGACTCATCTGGCCTCAGGCACTTATTAGCTATGTGACCCAGGGCAAATCACTTAACCCTATTTTCCTCAGTTTCCTCATCTGTAAAATGAGTTGGAGACGGAAATAGCAAACCACTCCAGTATCTTTGCCAAAAAAAACCCAAATGCAGTCCCAAAGAGTCAGAAATGACTGAATAACAACAACAAATTCAACAAGAATTTATTAAGACTTAGTATGTACAATTCACTGTGGTAAGCATTTCTTTTTTTCCTTTATCTTGTGTTTATATATGCATTATGCATATATAATATGTATGTGTGTTATGTATGTATTGTATGTATTACCTGTACATGTTATGTGCGTATGTATAAAATCACCTGCTTTTACTTGCCTAAGAACATACTGAAAAGAAAGTAAGCATATTGGAGGCACATCTGCAGAGGGCCATATAGGAAAGAAATTAAGATCACCTTGAATTCAAAGAACAGGAGTATCTCAGGAGTTAAAATAAACCCACCAACACCCTTCCGTATATGAGCACACCCAAATATAAGGAGAAAAGAATTGCTGGCATAGCATTAATCCAGAAAGGGAGAGGAAATGGTTGAGTCAGTCTGCTCCACAGGATATCCAAAGAAATCTGAAGCATACATGCATAAGTTTATCCACGTTTGCACTTAGGACAGGACTTGTTAAGGAGTTAGTTTGTTGTGGTTTTTTTTGTTTGTTTGTTTGTTTGTTTTTCTAGGTATCAAGTTTTGCCTGGAAAAAAAACAAGGGTGTGCTGTATAGAGCCATCCGCCTGTAAATGAGGAAATGGCCTTAAACTAGCAGATGAGGGATGCAGACTAGACAGAAAGCTATTTGGGGCAGTGACAATATTTAGGCCCTGAAATATTTCTAGGAAATCTCTCTCACAAACCCTAAAAATGGAATTGATTCTCAGATGGTTCATTCTCTTCCCAGTCAGCTTGCAGGTTTCACTTTCTTGCACTCTAACCTCTACCTCCAATCTAAAACTCAAGCAACCTCTCCCCTCCCCACCCTTCTTACTCACCTCCAGGACCCTAGGCTTCCGACTGGTCAGCCTTCATTTTATATAGTCCCATCACCCTGTTTCTTATCCATCTTTATGCCATTTGTGCGTACCCTTGTCTCCCTCACAATTCTTCCAACTCTAAGAACATAGTCAAATCAATACTAGCATTCCTGGAAAGGACATGTCAATCAGTTGTCGTATGACTCCAACAACCATCCCTGGGACTTCCCTGGCCTCCATACCCCTCTATCTGTCATCTTCCCTTATCAGAATGTAAGTTCCTTAAGAGAAGGAACTGGCTCCCTGCTCAGATGTATAATCCCATAATTCAGCACAATGCTTGGCACATTAATAGAGGCACTTAATAAATAAAAGCACTTAATAAGTGTGTTTTCATTCATTCACTCATTTTACAACTCATGGCCAGCTGAGAACAAACAAGCAAACAAGTAAGCATTTTTTAAGAACCTATGTGCCAGGCATATACTTGAGGAATAAAACAATCCCTGTCCTCAAAAAAGCTTACATTCTCCTAGGAGGGTACAAAATGTTTACAGATAAGTAAACACAGGATATTTATAAAATAAATGCACAATGATTTGAAGGGCAATGATAGTGTGGGGGAATCTTAAATCAAGGAAATGAATGAGTCATCAAGGTCCTTTTAGCTCCGATTCTAGGAAAAGAAAAATGGAAAGAAAAAATTATCCTAGAGTACTTACCCAATTGTGGGACTAATGTTGTGGTCAAAGTGATCCTGCACAAATCGGCAAACAATGCTTGACTTTCCAACCCCAGTATCCTAGAAATTAATGAGAGCGCAGATAAGTTCAAAGACTGATGAACCTAGGGCTGAAAAGCTTTCTATTCAGATGGCCATAGCAAATATGCTTTTAGAGGGGATTAAGAAGGAAACAAGAATTTATTTAGTGCCTATTAGCACAGGGACTCTGCTGAGCACATTACAAATATTATCTTGTTTGATCTTCAAAACAATCCTGGAACATTTTATAGTCGAGGAAACAGAGACAAAGATAATTTAAGTGACTTGCCCAGGGTCACACAGCTAGCTATCCTCTGAGGCAGGATTTGAACTTAGGTCTTCCCAAAAAGAAAATTATATCAAGCTAGTTTTCCAAGAATCACTTTCAGATTTGGAGCATATCAGTTCAAATTTCTGCATTTCTAACATTCTTTTCTTTAGCATCTAATGACTGACCAATTATATCTCAGTCTTGTTTAATTACAAAATTTCACATCAACTAAGTTTTCCTTATTTTTTACTCTACTAGGCAACTACTTCAGAATTAAAGATTATAAGAAATTCAGGGGCAGCTAGGTGGTGAAGTGGATAGAGCACTGGGCCTGGTATCAGGAGGACCTGAGTTCAAATTCTGACTCAGACACATAGTAGCTGTGTGACCCCAGGCAAGTTGCTTAACCTCAATTGCCTCAAGAAAGAAAGAAAGGAAGGAACAAAGAAAGAAAGAAAGAAAGAAAGATATAATAAGAATTCTCTTCATGAATCTTTCTTTGGGGTGACCCTTGGTAGCCAGTATCCACACAGAATTGGAAGAGACTTTAGGTGCTACCTAGCCCCCCATACCTAAAAGAAGTTAATTTCTAGAGCATACCCAACAAGTTATCATTTAGCTTTAGCTTGAATAACTGATCACTTAGCTTGCTTGAATAACTCCAATGAAACGTGTTTGCTTTGTTCACATAATTTCCAAATATTTACAGCATTGTCTTCAGCAACAGGATAAATAAAAAAGGGAACAAGATATTAACCACTCAAAATAGCCAATTCTGTAGTCCCATTTAAAGAATATTGTTCAACACAATTAGACTTTATTTTATTTTAAAATAGGGGAAATGTGGTTTATTCTTCCCCCGTGTACTCTGTGATCCAATAAACCTGACTTCCTTACTGTTCCCCATATAAGACACTCCATCTCCCAACTTGGGGCATTTTCACTGGCTGTCCCCATGATGCCTAGAATTATCTCCCTCCTCATCTCTACCTCCTGGTTTTCCAGCTTCCTTCAAGTCCTGGCTAAAATTCCACCTTCTTCAGGAATCCTTTCATAATCTCCTTTCATTCCAAAGCCTTCTCTGCCTTGATTATCTCTCATTTATCCTGTATACAGCTTGTTTGCACATAGCTGTTTGAATGTTATCTATCCCATTAGTATATGAGCAACTTGAGGGCAGGGACTATCTTTGGCCTTTTTCTTTGTATCCCCAGGCTTAGCACAGTATTCAATGAATATTGATTGATTGATTGATTAAAAATGCTGGGAAAAAAACAGACTTGGATTTTAATCTTAGATTTGACACTAGCAGTGCAACACTGAGAAAGCCACTTAATGTGATACTATGGAAAGAATAATAACATAGGATCTTTAGTTAGAGGACCTGTGTTCAAATCTCTGTTAAGTTAAATCACTTAACTTCCCCAGTTCTCCGTTTCCTCATCTGTAAATGAGGGAGTTGGAGTAGATTGCCTCTGAGGTTCCTAGAACTACGACCCTATAACCACTCCAAGCCTCGGTTTCCTGTTTGCAAAGATGGGATAACAATACTCATGCTACTTACTTCAAAGGTTTGTTGTAAAGGAAAGAACTCAGGAAAACCAGAAGTGCTATATGAATGCAAATTGTTATTACTATTTACTATCAATGTATTAGGGAGAGTTTGATACCAACAAGCCAAGACCAATGGGGAGTAAAACAAGGGAACGGATGATTATTTCACATTAGCTCTTCTCTGGGAGAAAGGTAAGTGTAGACCGCCCAAAGGGAGGAAAGACGAACAAAAAGGAGCATAGTGTTGGCTGAACACAGAATGAGGTTGTGTTGATGCATGGCTACCACCAGCTATCCATTAGGAGAAGTAAGGAAAGTAATAGGTAGAACAGGCTTACTCCAGGACAACTCCCTTTTGTGGGCCCAGGGAAGTCCCAACCAAAAGCTTTCAATTTGATAGATAACGGATTGTACCATAGGATTTTCATCTAAGAGGAATATAAAGGAAGGGTCTTTAGGGCTTACAAAGGAAAAGAAGTGATATTACCTTCTTACTGTCTTTAGGAATAGACAGTCTAGATGTATTAGCCTTATAGGGAAGTCTGGGAGTGCCTATTTTCTAAAATTATACTTGCCGAAGAATTACAGAGATCACTTTCCTCAGGCATCCTCCCTACCTGGTTCTTACCAAACAGAAATTCTCCAATCCCTATCAGGGTTTCCTTCCCTCTAGCTCAGGAGCCATAATAAAACTCCATTAAAAAAAAAAAAAAAAAGCTGTTTATCTGCAGTGCACAAAATCAATGCACAGAGCTCAGAGGGGTGACAACAGTTTTTACAAACAGCTTAGAAGGTCCCAGATCAATGCTGCAGCTATTTCTGAGCTCTGTCAGGCCAGATTCCAGCTAATATCACTGTACAATATCCTATACCATGGCTCAGTTCTTTTTTCTTCTCCTTGGTGGCTGTTTTTAAAGTTGTTTGTGGGCGCATATATCCTTGCTATAGTTTCTTCTAAGGCAGTCCATAGAAACTGGAAACTGCCTTTGTTCAGGTCAGAGGAATCATGTTACCTCATCTCTCTGAAACTGGCCCTTGCCGCCCATGGCTGGTTCCAAATGAGTCGTGACACCAGTGATCTAATGTCACCCTGAACACCATATACTTAGTTTCCATCAGCCTTGGCCCATCCATCCTTAGCTACCAGCAATGGCAAAAATGTGCCAGCTGGCAACAAGGCCAATTAGAGGGATCATGGGATTTAAAGCTACAAGAAAACTTAAAGATCATGTCCACCTCCCTAATTTTACAGTAAGGAAATTAAGGCTTAGAAAATATAAATGGCTCATCCAGTTTCACATTGCTAGTAAGAAAGAGAACTAAGCTTCAAACCCAGGTCCTTTAATTATAAATTCAGAGTTCTTTCCACTTTATCATGTTTCTTCTTCTAAGAGGGCAAGGAAACCATCTGAGCTGGCCCTCAAGTTCAATGGAGACCTCAAACGTAAGAAGGTAAAAAGCTATTATCGTTTAATGTGGGCTAAAGGGCAGCTAAGTGATGCAGTGCTAGGCCTAGAGTCAAGAAGACTCATCTTCCTGAGTTCAAATGCAGCCTCAGACACTTGCCAGTTGTGTGACCCTGGGCAGGTCATTTAACCCTGTTTGCCTCAGTTTCCTCATCTGTAAAATGAGCTGGGGAAGAAAATGGACAACCACTCCAGTAATTTTGCCAAGAAAATCCCAAATGGGGTCACGAAGAGTCAGAAATGATTGAACTACAACAAAGGTATGTTAGATGGGTCTCAACCTGCCTCAACATTCCACAAAAGGTAGATTCCCACCCCCTTCCCCATACAAAAAGGATTTTTTAAAAAAACATTTGATAAGTTTTTTAAAAATTCAAACTATATCTCTGCTGTGGAACTGTCCTATTTTTTTTTAATTAGGGATGTGAGCCTCAAAAGCTAAAAAGTGATTTAAGCCTCTTGGGAACTCTGAGGACCCACTAGTTATCATTTCTCCTTCCAAGGCAGAAGAGGTAGTTTTTAGTTTAGTTACTCTTTTACAGGTGGATGGTTTTGTTTGGTTCGGTTTGGTTTGGGGGAAGAAGGAAGGAAAGAAAAAAGGAAGAATGTATTGAACAGTTACTATATGCCAAGTATAGCTAAATGCTAGGAATACAAATTTAAGCAAAAAGAAAGCTAATCCCTGACGCTAAGGAGTTTACATTCTAATCTTGCAAAAGAGGGTTTAAAAGATGGAGGGGAGGCAGAAAGAAGAGGAGGAAGGAATCTAAGGTCAGGGCTTGGTTTTGAAGTCCAAAAAGTGAATAACAGGGATGGTAGGCAGTTGCTTGGTAAAGAGGTCATTGTGTTGCTTTGGCTACTGTTGTTGTTGTTGTTGATGTTGTTGTTGTTAGGAGGCCCCAGGTGCTGAAGGAAGTTCCAGGAAAAGCTAGCAATAGAGAAGTCAGGGTTTTAAAATACAAAAAATCAGGGTGAAGAGAATGAAGGGAGGTAGGGTAAATTGTCACCAGGACAACCTCCTCAAAGATGAGTATACAAAACTTTACTTCACTGGGTTCACATTTATCAGAGAGAGACTGAGAGCCTGTGGAAGCTACTTTTCCCTAGCTCCACTAAACTATTTCCACTCCTTTCCCAGCTCTCTCTCCCCTACTTGCATTCCTCATTTGTTGTTGGCTAATTGAAGTGTCTATTAGAGCCCTAGGATGCTGCTACTTAGGAATGATATATAGCTTTTTCAGGAAGTCCATACCCTATATCCTAATTTTTCGATCCTTTTTCTGGCTCTCAAATCAAGAAATAGAAAGAAAGTCCAGTTTTACCTCCTCCCCCCCAAAAAAAGGTAAAGAAAGAAATAAAATTCTCTCAAGTATTTGTAACCCTAGGGAAGACCTACAGTGGTAAACAGTATTTTTAAAAAGTGTTTTGTTTTTCCTTTTGCTATTTCTTTGTATTTGCACCTGTACCTTGGGCAATATAATAAAGAAGGGCCTAGTCATCAGAAGATGGTACTTTGTGAGATCAAAGGAAAGGGAAAAAGACCTATTTGTACAAAAAACATTTAGAGCAGTTCTTTTTGTGGTGGCAAGGATTGGAAATTGAGGGGATGCCCATCAATTGGGGAATGACTAAACAAGTTATAGTATATGGTTGTGATGGAATACTATTGTGCCAAAAGAAATGAAGAGCAAGATGGTTTCAGAAAAACCTGGGAACCCCTGGGCCTCTGTTCTCTGAGTCCAGAGGAG